TCCTCCTGCAGATCCTCCTGCAGCTCCTCCTGCAGCTCCTCCTGCAGCATCACAACAGAGAACCTGCACAATAATTCACACACACTAATATAAATGGAAAACTAACAGGCACCAAAGACTATTTGTACCTTTTAACATTAAAAATGACAAATGTTTTATTTGGTGCCGGTTTGTTTTCCATTTATATCGGTGTGTGTGAATGACGGGCAGAAACACTGTCTGAGCAGATCAAAACCATAGGACCATCCATCTTTTACCCGCTTCTTCCATTTTGGGTCACGGGGGTCGCCGGTGCCCATGTCCAGCAATCACTGTGCGAGGGACAGGGGACACCCTGGACGGGTCTCCAGTCCATCACAGGGACACATAGAGACAAACAAACATTCACTCTCTCACTCACCTAGGGACAATTTAGAGTCACCAATCAGCCTAACATGCATGTTTTTGGTCTGTGGGAGGAAACTGGAGCACCCGGAGAAAACCCACGCATGCACGGAGAGAACATGCAAACTCCATCCAGAAAGGCCCCCGGACTGGGATTTGAACCAGGGACCTGTTCGCTGAGAGGCAGCAGCTCTACCAGTTGTGCCACCGTGCTGCCACCATAGGACCAGTCTCGATAAAAATATCCAACACCTCCATTGATTACGGTGACATCATTGATTACGGTGACATCATTGATTACAGTGACATCATTTACATGAACACTCCTACAAGAACCTTGCAGTGTTCCCTCAGTGAGGACTGAACTAGACAAAAGGACCTTCTCCTCCTCCGCTCCTGTTTCCTGGAACATCTTGTAAAAAGATCTGAAGCTCTCGACCTTTGACCTCTCTAAGTGGCTTCCAACATCTGTGAAGTTCCTGCAGATGTTCCTGTTTATAGTTTTCTACATCGCCGTATAATCTAGATGTTTTTTGCTACTATTCCTCTTGATTGTCCTTTTGGTTGCTATTTTGTTTTGATTTGTAAAAATAAAAAAGAGAAAGTTAAATTTGTTTGTGACTTCTGTGACTGTCCGCTGTGGTCATCACTCTGTTGGACCAGGTCTCTCTGTGAATGAGTCCCCGAGGCTCAGTGGGACTAACCTGTGTAAATAAAGGCTGAATGAATGAAAGAACAATATATTTTTGCTCAATGGGTTTTCATCTTAAACTGAGTTAATCAGCTGTAGAGGTGCATATACTTTTCAATAAACTCCAGTCAATGGGTAATGATACATTTTTGTGAAAACAGGATGTTTGCCTTTTTGGTCGTGAGCAACATGAAAGGTATATTCTTCTGGACATTCTGTAAACAGTTATACTTTGTAATAAATATGTAATTGTATCATCTGTGTCGGTAATGATTACAGTGATTATTGAAAACTTCTCTTTGTTTCTGGGGTTCAAACTGTTATTTCCTGACCTCGAAGGCTCATTCATCTTGAGAACATTAGGATTACTTGTACCAGACTCCTTTCCGATCAGTGTTTTAACAAAGTTGGCGGACACAAAAAAACAATATATTCTTTGTTTTTTGCAGTTTTTCATCTTTCTGAACGAAAACAACCCTAACAGATGGAAACTGGCCCCTGCCTTTTTTTTTCATAAATGATAGCTGTCTTGTCCAATCAGCGCGTAGGAGAAGGATTGTCCCCGCCTCCTTTTTGGTTCTTTGAGCTGCCTGGACCAATCAGCGTTCAGCTCCGCGCGTTCAGCCATTTTGTAAGAAAATCAAGCAAGTGTGCCGCCCTACCTTCGCTCCAGACCTGCACTTTGTTTCTTGTGCAATGGACGGGTAAGTGAAGAAAAGCGTACTTAACACTCGAGTTCTGTTCAAACAAACGGCTTTCAAAAGTTTCGGTTTTTAATCTAATGTCGATTGTTTAAACGTCGTTGCTTGTAAGCTTTCATGGGTTTAACTTTTGACAAACTTTAGTCGGAACAGTTTTTTCTTCGAACGCGCAACAGTTAGCATGCTAGTCGCTAGCTAGCATCGATAGCGCCTCTGCTTTGCGTCGTAACTGACGCGAACTGTTCAGATGAGTTATTGGAGCGCGATGAACACCTGACGGCACTTAAACAAGTTTTAATGGAATGCACAGGACGCTTTGGATTCTCCGAGAAACACTTTACGTTGCTAACGGCACCTTTTGTAAGTTGCGTTCAGGGAAGTGGAGCTAAAGCAACGTGTCTTATTTCCGCATTCATTTGTCCTCGGAGTTCCTGGTCCATGTTGAACGTGTCCTCGGGATTCCTGGTCCATGTTGAACGTGTCCTCGGAGTTCCTGGTCCATGTTGAACGTGTCCTCGGGATTCCTGGTCCATGATGAACGTGTCCTCGGAGTTCCTGGTCCATGTTGAACGTGTCCTCGGA